TGTCGTGTTCAAAATCGATCTGAAGCGCGGCAATCAACGATGCTGGTGAGGAAAAGTACTCCAGATCCATGTCCCTCGAAGGCTTCAGATGCACTTTACAATAATCCAGCATATGCGACGATGTCACGTCCTTCATTTTACCATCTGAATATGACATTTTACCCTCACTTCAGTAAGCCACCGAGAATGAAGAGCATTACCGCCTTCTGGCTGGCTGACAGTGATTTGGATATCGGAAATCATCGGTGTGCCAACTTTGACGGAGTGTTGGTCGATGTTTAGGATCACGGAGCCAGAGAGTGATAGTACTGGATCGGCTTCTTGTTCAACAAAAATGTAACCCTTTGAGGAAGGTAGAGTGAGCTGTAAGGAGAAAATAGGATGACTAGACACTTATACTTGTCTAATACAGATTTTTCCTGCATGGGATTTCACCTCAAAGGAAGTCTACATTCTGAACAGCTGAGCGCTTATGCTAACACAAATATCTTATTTCTTGATTTCATTATAAGTTAAGCATAATTGAATATTGTAACTTCATAGGAATTAAAATTAGCGCTCACATTAAATTCAACAAAACTCGCTTTTTAAGGGCTATTCTATTCTTGACAAGGAGTAAAAAAATTACGTCCTCTATTCTTACTTGTTTTCCTCCCTTGCACTCTACTGTTGTCTCCACTGTCCACGGCCGATGTCCAGGAACTGGGCTTTCCTGTGTGTTGACGTATGAAATCTGCAAAGTCGATTATTCATCAAAACTAAGAAATCTTTGCAATCTCTCTCAAAATCACCCTTCGAAGCATTTTATCAGCTTCTGGAACCGTTGGAGCTTTTACAGAAATCGTTGATTGATCTGCGCTGAATGTCACAGTTTGCCCTTCGGCGATTTCATCCATTCCAGTGAATTGCAGTTGTTCAGGACAACGATGAGCACATTCAATAGCGCTTTGATTTTCCACCTCACCGCTAAGCAGGTACACACTCGATAAGGATCCTGGAAACAATTTTTTTTTTGGAAAATGTCTTTCTCCATGAATTTTTCTACCTTTGAAAAATTGAGCCATTGCTTGTTGCC